TCATTATGTGGAAAGAAGAAAAAGAAAAAGGTTTATCGATTATGTAACAGAATACCACAACAATTCATTGAGTCTAAATAAACATTGTGTATATAAGAAAAGATCGATATATGAAAAAGGTCAGCAATTAGAGAGATGACCCATACATTTCTTGTCTTATTCTAATTATAAGAATACTAATGTACCATGCCGGATTTACACACTGTTTGATGCCTTTAGGAATACTATTCTCGCCACATACACACACAGTAGGTGACTGAATTGACACATTTTAAATGTGTGAACGGAAAGCAACGTATGCTCATTCAATTACACGCATGTATAAGATTTTTTTCTTTTTTGTATGTTTAAATATGATCATAAATTGGCCGACAATGAAAATAATAATAATAATGGTGATGATAAGTCGAACAACTTTAAAGAGATAAAAAATTCTCATGGTTATTCATTGAACAATTTTTTAATTAGAACAATAAGTCAAAGACACGCCACACATCTGCTTCATGATATTCTTTTTGATCTTATTCATTGAATCTGTCATGGATGGCATTTTTTTTTTTGAGGGAGTGTCTCAAATATATACACACGCATTCATATAGATAAAATCCATAGAATATATATTCAATCACTCGTGCGTAGAGAGTATTGTTTGGCTGACATTTGGTTCATTGTAAAGTGTCGCATACTAATTGACAGTCATTAGAGAAACAAGTATCCTGCTGTGTATTGCTATGAACATTTGTGACCTATTCATAAAGGTGTCAACTGTCCTTCGAACAAACAAAATATACATTCATATAATTCCATCAATTAGTAGTTCTTCTTTTTTTTTTTCTTTTTCTTACTTGATCAATATTTGAATCATTTGACCATTTATAAAAGTGATTTTTTTTTTCTCAGCATGGTTATAGATGCATTCTCTTTAATAGTTGTACATAGGTAGAATTTCAATGGGAGATCACTTTTCTATCATCATCTGGCTTCCGAAAATGGAAGAAGAAAAAAAAAAGTGAGATGACTATTGACGATAACGAAGTGCATATGTGCATTTTTTTTTGTCTTCTAACAGACTATAAAAGTAGACAAGCAGATGGTGATTGACTTCATATACTAATTCATCATGACAATATAGAAATTTGCTTTGCTATTTGACATATGACATCAAACAATAACGTAAAATGAAATTTATTTTATTAATTATTTAAAAAGAAAGTCAATACAGTCTTTTGATAAACTAATAATTAATTAAAAATAAATTTTCGTCTGAATAAGAAAACAAATATATGTGGTTCATAATTGTATAAGTTACTTTTCTTTTTTCATTTGATACAATAAACATCAGGACAAAAAATAATGATTAGATGATATTGAAAGAATTATTTGTTTTTTGGTACAAGGATAAATAATATTGATTTATTCCAATCTATAGAAGAATGTATGTTTCGAATACATAGCATAATTAAGAAAGAATGTAATACGTACAAACATAAGATAATCAATTAAATTTACCAGATGGTTCATTTCATATCATCGAGTTAATTAAAAGATTGTAAAAACAGAAATGAAATCAACTCAAAAGGTCATGTATAACATTCAAGAAACAAAAATCTCAAGATAAAAATATTGATCAATTAAAAAACAATTTATTAGAATTCAAAGTTGTCTACTTTGTTTTTTCTCCTTCAAATATCTCTTAAAAATTTATTTATTTTTTTTCGAACTTGAGATTTATTGAAACAAGTCAATAATGTTGTTTGTTTAGAATTTCTTTTTAGACAATGTTACATTTTGATTGAAATGGTTTATGTCCAATTAGGTCCTAATATTATCAATTACAATCATTCATAATTATATGTTATATAGAACAGAATAACTTATATAATAAAAGATAACAAAAAAAAAAAATACAAATGTTATCCGCATTGATAACACACAGACGCTTTATATAGTTAATAAAAAAATTAAGTTGTTTGTTTTTAAGATTTTGCTGAATTGAATTGATGAGTGTAGACCTTGATAATTAAGTACAACTGCATTATGATGTGTAATTGTGAATTATATGTTACTTGTTGTTCATTTCTCATATTCAATATGTGTGCGTCTTAATAATTTATCATTGACACGTCATTTTGTTTAAGCCGGATTATTGTATGAGAAAATGTTTTTAAGTGTCAAATCGCTTTTGAGTCGAGACTATGTGCATCATTTAGGTTATAGTGAATTATGAATACTCTGAAAAGAGTTCAGACTAATAGCTTATTACTGTCAAAATACTGCTGTAGTCTTTGTCAAGAACACCAGGACAACTGATTTTCTACTTGAAAATTTGCATAGAGACAAGCCTTAATGAGAATAGTTACTGTGGAAGTTTCAGGTCTTTCAATTGCTTCCTATCTTAAGACACGGATATGGTAAAAGCATGATTTTTTTTCACTCTGCTTATATACAATAGCAAATTCCGATGTTCATATTTCAGAATAGACGCAATTGAAAAATCTAGAAGTTTCACACTAAGCTAAACTCACTTTTCTTAGTGTGTCTAAAGGAAGGAAAGGCACGTCATTCTGCTAAAAAATACAGCATCTCAACAGTAATAAGCAATGAGTCCGAACTCTTTTCAGATTATTCATAGCTTATTATGACCTACACGCAGCACATAGTCCAGAACCACAAGCGTTTTAATCCTTAGAAATATTCCTTCGTCAGTGCTATGTATGTGAATTACGTCAATAAGAGTAGTGACTGTATTTAAAGTACCATGAATTCTTTAAATGATGAATTATGAATACAAGTGAAAGTTTATCATCCCATTTTAATTTGATAAATTTATCGAATAGCACTCAATTCGAGACTTACTTGATTGAAATATTATATGGACCTTCACTTGCCTTGAAATTATACCAAAAAAAATCTTATTTCAGTTGCATAGATGCCATATTCAACAGGTTCAAGGAGTTTTTGTCTTGATGTTCAACCAATCTTATAGCACGTATAGTCAGTAAAGGCACAATATTAATTCTAACTAGTTATATTAAAATGATTGCAAATTCAGTATCTCAACATGTTTAAAACAATATTATTTAAAAGATAAAATGATTGTATCATGTGGCATAACCAGAAAATTGGGAGCGGCAAAGCTCAGTCTCCAGATTTTTTTTGTCAAATTTTTGGAAATTTTCACAAGATGTTTGTCGATGCATAAAAATGTATATCTCTCGGATAAGGCAACCAAAGCCAGCTAATTAACATCATTTGAAATATTTTCTAAAAGATCATGATTTTTAACGGTAATCAAAATGAAGTTTTTCTGCTATAAAAGATAGACACAGAATTATTTTCTGTTAGATTAGTTTTATTTACAGGAACTAAGAAGTACATAGTTTTAACGGTTATACGAAGTTTTCTCATAATAAGAAAGGTTCAAGCGTTTCATTTCAAAGAATTTCTTTCAAAACATTGTATTATAAAGAAATTCATTATGCACTCAGCACTTTCAAATTACATTCTATCATCATTTTCATTTTAAAGAATCCGGCGAAAACTATTTTTTTTTGGTTAAACAAAATTTCTATGTTCAATTCTCTTGTTAATGTGAATAGTCCTCTAAATTCATTGCTTATAATGCTTGTGAAAATCATTGTGAAACGAAATTTAAAGCTTTATTTGAATGACGAATGCTCATAAATGTTAGCTTCACGTTACAACCACTCAAAATTCTGCATTTTCTGTAATAAAAGTCTTCAAGATGGTACTAGAAGTTTCAAATATCATCTAACACAGTGAAAATTCAGCATATCTATCTGAGAGTATCATCATAAAACTTTCTTACAAATCCTCATTACGACTGAAATGTTCAATGAAAGCGAACTCTACTGAGTGATCTTGTTCGAAGGCGAAGCTTTGCAATCGCAATGAAATTAAGAAAGATTGCAAACGAAAATCTGGAAATATATCCCAATGTAGTTTAGTTTAGAATGCAATGTTCGCGAAATTCTTATTGACCTGTTCGTACTTTACATCAAAATTACATTTCACAGCTCATTGACATCAAGTATCCAGTTGACGTTATTTTTTCTCTCCTGACAACATTTATATTACTTAGTTATTGTGAAATTAGATCGATATAATGATTAGCAGTTGATCCTATCGGTAATCATAAATTTGTTATCTTATATGCTATAATCAAACTAGAGACTGTTTATAGTTAATTCTTAGTTCCTTGAAATCTATCATCGATTAGCTTTAATATAGAACGTCTCAGAGACATATGGTATATTATTCAACTTGGCTTATTAATATTCAATGAATCCATAGCCAGCTACTATGTACTTAGTTCATAAAACAATTCGATTGCTTTGAAAATAGCTTCATTTTATTGTTTAACGTCCATTTTACGTTTCCTTTGATCATGAGAAACATTTCTACCTAAATATTAGAGATGATATGACTGAGCTTCGTTCTTGGAATTCATCAAGTATTTCTATTTACATGGATCGATTTTTTTTAGATAATTTTTAAATAATTTCAATGCCCGTGTAAATCAGTTGGTAGATTGCCGTGCTTATAAACAGCATTGAGTAACGCGGAAGTCGCGGGATCGAGACCCGCCATGGGCATAGTTTTTTTGTTTCCAATCACAAAATAGGTTTTTGTGAAATACGATCTAAAAAGAGTCTTGAAGTATAGGAGAAAGAATTTGTACCCCTCCCCTTCGGACAGACGTTGTTAATTACGATCAAAGACCGTATATCAATAATATCTCGTTCTAATTACTTCCTCATTGTATTACTGGATGATTAAATAAAGGACTGGTGAAGGAATATGTCCCAAAATTGATAGAATAAAGCAATCGCTCTATGATTAATAACAACAGCTACATTGTGTTTCACATTTTAATCCCACAGGGATTGCGCTAAGAATTTTATTTTCTTGTTTAACAACTTAAACAACAAATTTATCTTTGTTTATTAGAATTTTTTTTCCATGAAAAAACAAAAACATCATGAATCATCATTTTTTTTATTGTTTGTTTTTTCTTCAATTGTTAATTTATTAATAATATCATCTATAACAAAAACAAAGATAGATGAAAAAAAAAGACGGTTTATATTTATATATACACTTACTAATTGTCATTTGATCGATATTACATAATGATAAATAAAATTTTCTTGATGAATGACTTACAAATGGTCGGAATGAACTACGACCACGCCATGAAACAAATATAATTGGTATATCAAGATCATGTTGTTTGATGTTAAATAAACAAATTACACTGCCTAAATCTATTAAAGATAATAAAAGAAAAAGAAAAAGACACAAAATTATTTTCTTCAAATTAACAAACCATTGGATATATTTTGTATTTGATTTTGTACTGATTGTGATAGATTAGCAAATTGTGTATGAGCATGTGATAATAATATTAATAGATCTTGTTGTTCTAATTGAATACGTCGTTTGGAAAAATATTTATTAATAATTGCAATGCCCTAAATAGAAAAAAAAAATGAAAATCTATAAAAAGAAAAACAAATCAAGAAAATTTTATTTACTTCTTGTGAAAGTCTTAATGAACGCTTATCTTTATCATTACGTAAATCAGTTCGAACAAGTAAACGAACACCCATATTAATAAACTGGAAAAGAAAAAGATAATTATGAATAGAAAAATTAACAAAAAAAAAATATATACTTTAATACGATCTTGATTTAATGTAACAATTTCTTTAAGACTATCGGATACGAAATAAATATTTCGACCACTATCACTTGCAATTCTTGTCATTAATTGGTCTGCTGGAAATGATGGATCAACACCAAAGAATTCACTAGAAAAATTAAAGAAATATTTTTTTTTAAATATAAATTCAAAATTATATTTACCTAATTTCTTGCCAAAATCCCTTTATATCTTTTTCTTCAAAGAAAATAAATGGATTTTCACGATGATATCGAGCACGTTTGAAATTAGCTCTAAAGAAAAATCTTACTAATGTATTTTTTACTTCACAAATTATATACCCATCTTCGTTGAATACATTTTCTTCTGCTGGACGTTTTTGAGATGTTTCTTCTTGAGTTGACAATGATGAATCAAGAGTTTTGTCAATTTTTCGAAAAAGAGCAACAAAAAAAGCACCCGTATCTTGATGATGTGGTAGTACACGAATACTAAAATAGAAAAAGCAAGTTCTAAACATTCTTGTACATAATCAAAAAATTCAAAATTTCTAACAGCTTTTTATACATTGCTTTGAGTTTCAATTAGAAATCATTATAATCAAATTAGATATGAATAAGATGAGACCAATCCCGTCGGGACCAATTTTTGACCGAAACCGGGATTAGGACTAACACTTTTTTATGGCCTAATTAAACTTGCGTCAAATGTGTCAAGACTTATGTGTTCGAAATAGATATGGGCAAGATGTTTTTGGCCTGTCAGGACCAAAATCAACTGTTTCCGCTCATGTCTAAGCTAGTTATACTCAGAAGAAATATACAGATTTGTACTAGAAAACGTTCAATGAAAAGTTCCTCACAGGAAACATATGCTAGCAATCTCTCTACTATTTCCGATGGATTGTATATTAGAAGTTTCAGTTAATTATTGAGATAGTATACTTAATGACTGAAACACTAAACAGTTCTTTATATGGTTTTGAACTATTCGATAGTTGAAATGAAAGTGTATAGGAACTTCTAAACTATCAAAAGAGTTATAACAATTTTTCAATAAAATGAGAAATCGAACACTTGTTCTCTTCTAATGCAATAGTTTCTAGTAACTAAAGTAATACATTTCTTATACTATTTCTCTTCTCTTCGCATTAGGGGTATTTCGCGAGAGAGAATGATTCCAGATATTGAAAAATTTTCGTTTTTCTCCAGCGAAATTTCAACATTTTATTGTTTTTTTGCTCACTGATTTCCCAAAAATCCAGTCAACTTTAGCAAAAATCTTCCAATCAGCTTCGTGAATCTTCGACCCCTCAATTCTGTCAACCTCGGGGTATACCTGCCTCGTATTCACTTGTTCTAAATATTTACAGGGCCAGTATGGAAGTGCCAAATCTTCGACACTGTTTATTCTTTTTTTCTGCAATCTTAGATATCAGATATTTGATAAACAAAAATTAATTTACCATCGTTCAAGATGTAATTGTTCTAGAATATCATTTGAAGGTGCAAACATATTTGGTCGAGCTAATGATTGCATATTTTTTGGTACTTCTTCAAATGAATTATAAATGTCTTGATTTTTTCCTATGACACACCAACTTTTTAAGCCAGGTATAGTTCGTAAACCTGGTAATTTATCACTAATATTCACAAGTGAAATTTGACCTTGAAATGTTTGTAATAATTGACTAACAACAGCTTCATTTTCAATAGGATTCATTGAACAAGTTGAATAAACCATGAGACCACCGGGTGCAAGAAGTTGTATACCACGTGTTGCAATACGTAATTGTATTGATTGTAAACTAAACGCATGTCCAGGATTCCATTTTTTCCATAGATCAGGATTTTTTCGAAGTGTTCCATCACCAGAACATGGAACATCACATAGAATACGATCAAATGATATATTTCCATCCTTTCATATATGAATCGAATAGAAATAAAAAAAAACAAAAACCAATAAAATAACTTACACGGAATTTTAAATTCGGTAAATTTGATGCATCATGATTTATAATAGCAAAACATGGGCTTTCTAATCGTTTAACTTGATGAACAAGTGTATAACATCGTTTATTATCAACATCATTAGCAATAACAAAACCACCTTAATGTAAATAGTGGTAAATAACAGTTAATTATGAAGAAAATATATTTACTTGGAATTGGATTTGATTCATCACGATGAAGACATTCAATTATTTGAGCAGTTTTCGAACCAGGTGCAGCACACATATCTAAGATCTAAATTTGACAATAATGTATTTTATGTGTATTAAAACATTTTTTTTTTGTTTTATACTTTATGATGTGGTTGAATATCAAGAACCAACGGTGGAATCATCGATACAGCTTCTACAATTTATACATATATGGGTAATTTCATTTGTTAGCGACGTAATTTCGCTAAAGAAAAATACTTATATCTCTGGACTCGAGCATTTGGTTTAGCTGATTTTTATGTAATAGATGTGTATTAAGTTATTGTAGATATCCTGAAAAACTCCGTCTTATAGATATTGATTCCGAAGAGTTATTATCGAAAAACTAGACTTTAGCGACGTGACACAGACAAGGTCAAAGCTTTCCACTGCGTGCATTTACAAATCCTGTCAGTTCAAACAGTATTATTGAAAACTAAATAGTGCATTTTGCTGAGAACTCTTAAGGCTACACAATCTCTACGTAAAGTTTTTCCTTTAGCTTTTTCAGAATATTAAGTTTATTCGTTGTTAGTGATCTGAGTGGGAACGAAAATATGGAAACGAAAAATCTTCTTGCAACTGAATGAGAAGTCTAAAAACCAATTCTCAATGTTATAAATCTTTCTTGGAGATCGGAAGATGATAGCAAAACAAAAAGCCTCGTTCTAGGATAAGCCCAGATGCTGGATTTTTGGAGTCCGATCTTACATAAAACTTCACTATACAAATGGTTTGTGGCGTGGAATCATTCCTGAAATTCTTGAACTTTTCGTTATAAGCTTAGAATGTTAGTCACTTGTTACGTTTGAATTAATTAACTAATTAGTTAATTAAATTTAATTAGGTGTGAGCTGAAAGTGCCAATATTTTTACGTAAATTCATGGGAAAAGAACTTGTTTAACTAAGTAACCCTAATCAAAACATTAAAGTCAAATTGAAAATGATTATATGCCGTTTTCACTGATTTTGCTCATATATATAGTGGTTCCAAAAAGTGATCATAAAGATTTAATTGCGAGTTTTTTCTGTAATGGTAAATGGCATAAAGGTTAGAGAAATTTGTTTTTAACAAAGATTTGAAGGAAATAAAATCCTCACTGTATTCTCAAAAATCCAGAATCTCTTGAACTTAGTTTTTCAGCACTCAGCCTCAAAATAAAAGTTTTTTTTGACTGCACAGGATGATAGAGCAACTAATCCTCTAGAAAATGGCATGTTTTTCAGCTCTTCATGGCAAGTTTTGATTGAACTACATCGATTTTAAGAAAGGTGCTGAAGTTCTTCTCTTAAAAATAATGTAGTTTAGTCAAAAACTGTTGTGAAGAGCTCGGAAACATGTCATTTTCTAGAGAATTAATTGCTCTATCATCCTGTGCAGTCAAAAATAAGCTTTTATTTTGAGACTGAGTGCTGAAAAACTAGGTTCAAGAGATTTTGGAAATACAGTGAGGATTTTATTTTTTTCAAATCTTTATTAGAAATAAATTTCTCTAACCTTTATGTCAGTTAGCATTACGGGAAAAATTTCAAAATTCAGTCTGTATGATCATTTTTCGGAACTACTGATTACATATCATATTTCTTTGAATAGATTCATACATTCATAGTTAATTACCTTGACGACTGATATTTCCCTAGAATGAATAATCAAATAAATAAAAATGAATTTCGTAAATTAGAATAATTTACATGTTCAGTTTGTTCATAAAGA